ATTAAATAAAGTTTATATATTTTTTGCTGTAATGATAGATACATTTTCCTATATTTTCATCAAAGAAAACCCATTTTACAAATAAAATTACAAAAATTCTGGAGGCTAGAATGGATAAATTGTATTTGCATTAATTTCTATGGGAAAAATTGCTTCGGTTAATGAACAATTCGATTAACGAACAGAGTCACAGAACAGATTAAGTTCATTAACCAAGGTTCCACTGTATACACTAACTGTTGTTAAAGACAATAAATAACAAGAAATAATAATGGTTGAATTATATATTAATAATAATTATATAACTTGAAAATTTATTAATTATAATTTTTTGGTTTTTAATGTGTAATTTTAATGTTAAAATCAATAAAACTATAATTTCCACTAATAACAACCTTATTTATTTATCTCAATTTACATTATTACGGTATATCTGTTGATTATTTTTATTGGAACAGGAAAGTCCCAAAGTGATTGAATTAAGCAGATTCTACTGTATTTCTGAAAAAACTTCTGAAAATTTGGCAAAACTTCTGATTTTTCTGATTCTTTTTGTTTACCAAGAGATATAAAGCCAATATTCTTTGAATCTTTAAACTGAGAAAAACTAGAATGGACCCATTATTTGAAGTACAAACTATTTTATAATGGGCATACTTCTGGTTGGTTAGACTCTTTAAAGTGAGTCTAACCAACCAGAAAGAGAAGACTATTAATAATTCTATATTGCAGGTTTCCTAACATTAGTTAGTACTGTTGGAGATGGATCCCTATTTACTAAAGTGGAAGTATTCTTAAACACTTAAAAGTTCTTTAATTTTGCTCATGTTTAACATTTGAAAACGTTAAGATGGAGTATTAGATATAACAATAGTTCAATCTTAATAAATCCCACACTTCTTAAACCATTTTAGCAATTTATGATTAACATAACTTAGATTGGTAAGGAACTGAATTATAAATGGTTGAATACATGTTTCTTTGAACATTTAAATTAATTATATATGAAGTTTAAATAAATAAATATTCAAAACTCTCAAAATCCAGCAGGAAAGGTTTTATTAAACTAACATTTTTGTTTTCAAAAGATGCCTTTAATTCAATGTACTGTACAATCCAGTGGCACATTATCTATGGGAAAAAAGGGCAATTACCTGGGGCCCCAAACTAATCATATGTAAGAAAACATTTCACCCCAAAGAAAAATGCCTGAAGTCAACACTGTAAATGGGGCCCCTAATTCAAATCTGCCTGGGCCGCATGAAGCTATAATATGCCACTGGTACAATCTGAGGAGGGTTTTAAAAAATGTTACACATTAATAAAACTTTTCCTGATGAATTTTAAAGATTTTTGAATATTTATTAATTTAAATGAATCTAATATAATATAAATTTTTATGTACAGAAGTACAAAGTTTATCACTATTTACTGATTAATTTTTTAAAAAATACATGATAAAAGTTTTACGAGATCTTGATGCAGTAAATGTCATTATCTATACGATATCTATTCCACATAAAATAGTGCATATTAAATAGATAATACTATACTTAAATCATGTTTAAAATCATATTAACTATAAACATAACAATCTACATATCTTAATTAATAATGAAACAATCTTCTGTAAAATTACTAAATTGGAGATTTTTTTAATTTTAAAATTAAATTAAATAGTTTAAAAATTCTCTGTATATGTGTACACAGTAGAAAAAATAATGTTATTAATTTTAAAATTAACTTATTATAAATATGTGCCGCAATAATTTTTATTAATGTATTTAAAATTATAAATTATGCTTGCATATGATAGATGGGCACTGACTCTGGATGCTTTTTCATCTAAATTTTCCAGTTGTTCATTCTATCTAAGCATTAAAGTGTCCCGAAGGTGATGATGTCCATCAGAGAGAAAAGCTTAAAAGAGAGATCAACTCAGGTAAGGCAATTAATTCTATTCTGGCCACAAAATAATAATCACTGTAAAGGAATTTGGAAAGTACTCATTAATCAGTATAAAAATACATTTCCTTGAAATTATTTTTAAATGTTGCACAATTGAAGAAATCCCCAAATTAAACCCAATTCCCATTGTTAAATTCAGGATAGTCTTTAAATTTAAACTTGTCCTATAAATAGTATGTAAAATTTCTCAAGAAAATAATATCAAATCATATAAATTATTAGCTGACAAAATTATACTAATAATACAGTATTTTAATATTTTATCAACAAATAAAGTTTAAAAATGAATACTGATATATCAGATTTAAATTTCTGCTTATATCAAATTATTTCTCTTCTTTCAAGTTTGTATTTCTAATTAGAATCAAATTAGAAAAGTAGTCATTGAACTTCCTGAATATTTCTAGTATTTTCCATTTGGAAATAATATTCACAGCTGTCAAATGTCTCATTGTTTGAACTATTTACATTTTCTTCTTAAGTACAGGTAGTTTAACCATCTGTTAACACACTAAAACGTTTGAAATTACTAATACCTTAATACAAATAGATTTTTATATAATTATGGTAGTTCTCAATTACACAGAATGACATTAAAATTCAAATTTAAACTTTCAGCATGTCACTACAAAATATTTAATTCCAAAAATATTATGAAATCGTGTTCATAAATTTACTTTATCATTCTTATAAATTTGCATCGTCTAAAATGTTTGTTTATTCTTTGTATAAAATTATTTGAAACGAAACAATGTAAATCTATCTAAAGTAAAAACTTGATATGTTACAAATTTTATACTCTAATAATCTTGGCTACGGCATTCAAGGTATGAGTCATTGTAATTTTAGATATAGCTTACAATGTAGGGGGAACTTCTAGACAGCTGAAAACTTATAAAAATAAATTCATATTAAAATTACATGGCTTTTAAATAAATATACATCATCATTACGTAAATATTTTTGAACTTTTAGGTTTCATCTTCAAATGTATTTGAAACAAAATGTGAAGTCTTTAAAAATATTTTTGTTATGGTAATTAGGATGTGTATAGTTAATTACAAAATGATTTATTTATTTTCAGCCATTCTGTATGCTAAGAAATTAAAATATATCAATATTAAGTATAGATTTCTGCTTGCAATAATTTAATTTTGTACAACCCTGTTCCACAGTTTAATCAATCTTTCCCTGTCTCTATTTTTAATCTCTATTTTTTTAATTAACGATCTCTCAAATTTTGATTCCTTAACTGGCAATCCTCAATGTGACTTCTCAAACATCAATACGATGTTGAGTAAAAACCATTGCCAAATAAAAATTTTACCCTTTAAAATGTTTCTAAACATTTATTTATGAAAGAACAATGATAAAGTTAGAAATTGCTTTAAAGATAAATTATTTCTAACATATTTTTGCAATAATATTTAAATAATGTTTAAATATTATTGCCCGCATACTGTTAAAATATGTAATTTCTAAGTCACTAAAAATCATATAAATAGTTAATGTGTGCAATTTTTTAGTGCTTAAACATCCTAGCCTTAGTAGTGGCATTAATCAATGGTATGTTATACCAAAGCAGGGATGTAGCCAGAAATTTGTGTGTGGGTCATCAACTTGGCCAATAGCTTGCGTAGACTTAGTAAAGGTAAGTAGGCTACCATAAAATATGCAACGGCTCACAATCATTAGAAAGGAGCCGCTATACCATTATCAACCGTATGTCACACATACAAGCAACACGCAAACCATCGAAACACACAATAACACTCGATAAAAAAAGAGGGAAGGCCGAAGAACAAGTATTAAATCTTATACTTCCTTACCTCCCGGCTACGCACGGGGTCAAGCATTCGAGTCCTCCGAAGCAACCGTTTTTCTGTTTTGCCCGCAACATTATTTTACGTCCCATTTACTTTAAAACTCAAGCGGAGCGGCAAGAGGGATGGGCAGAGCAAGGGGAAGAAGAACGCAGGGAAGAGAAATGCCACCCACCCTAGCTACATCCCCGCCGAGGCAAAACTACATTCGTCAGACTCCAGTTCTAACACACTTACAAATTACTTTATTTATTATTGTTATAATTAGAAATAAAACAACAACTGATACTAAATGCAACAATTTCAAAATTAAAACTGTGTTTGATTACCACTCAAATTTGTTAAAAATTGTATAAATTTAAGCACAGACTGCATAACGAGGCAAGCATCAAAACATACAGAGTGAGTCATAAGTCTCCATACAAGTGGTAAAAGCAGAGACTAATTTCTTTTTTGTTTTCAGGAAGGCAAACCAATTGAAAAGAAATGCCACTAACGAAGGAAGAATGGATCGACATTATTCTGTTGCATATGATACCATCTGTACGAATAAAATAAACATTAGTCACCGCTTTCGCCGTTTGTACGGAGACTTACGACTCACCCCGTATTTTGCCCGAGATCAAGATCTGCCAGCATATAGCAATGCTTTTCCGGTAACATTATGGTCATATTTATATAAAAGTTACATAAAATATCACCAAACAAGGGTACGATTACGCCTCCGAACAAGACGGTCGAAACCGTACCCGAGCCGTAGAACACACCCACGGGAGCAAAATCTGGAAGGAACTATACCGTTACATGCGACCCTCGGCATCCCCGAAACGACCAGTTTTCGGGACATACGCGATCGGGAGCGATTAACTATTAGTCCGGGTGCTCGTGCAGAGTTCGAGTAACCCACTAGACCGTTCGCATGGCACTCGACATTATATAGTTTTAGAGGAGCGGGGCTCGTCTACACACGGCGTAGGTCTATGTGCAGAGCGTGGGTCGAGGCAAGCGACGGCGAGCATCGTCCAACACGGAACACAAAAAATAAGCAGCGGTATCGGCGCGCTGTAAAAACAGACTTTTGGAGGCAAATACTGTAACTTGCAAAGGGTCACACACGCGGGTACAGTTCCTTAATGTTTATTTCATACAGGGGTATGAAACCCCTCATTCTTACCCAAATAAGAACTAGATTTATGGAAAAGAACATACCGGGCAACGATAGAGGAGAGATAAGTTTTGAAGAGAGTCGCCCTCCCGAATTTGGTGTTCCAAATAATGGACAGATTTGGATGGGGGCGATTTCCTTTCTTTGAGAGGATAAACCTGAGAAGACGAGATTTCATCTTCGGTCGTGTCTCGGCCATGAATTTCTTCGTCGTCAGTTTCTAGTCGAGTATAATTATATTTTTTTCGTTTATCTTTTCTTCGTTTCCCCACATGTCTGAAGAAATCCGAACTCATCACAGATGCGATCACTCTTCATCTGCCAAATTCTCGCTGCCAAACCTTAACCTATTTATTCTATACAATAACATATTTTACGTTAAATGTTACGATTAAAGTCGACTATGAAAATTAAAAAACCAAACAGCGATTCTCGGAAACACTGTGTCACAAATTCGCCGAGAACCTGCAGTGTTGCCAACAAATCGCATTCGAAATTTATTATGAAAAGATCTTTCAAATTAAAAAAATGCCTAAATTATTATTTTTATTTTAAAACCTGTAAATTGATTTAAAATAATACACATAGATATATTACATTTCTTAATTAAAAATAATAATAGATATTTAATTATGCCCTCCGGATGGTGGGATGGAACGTCCACTTTCTATCGGAAGGGCCACTTTGGTCGGGATAGATTTGTAGTTTCTTTCTCGTTTTAACATATATACGGAAAGGAATGTAAATATAATATATTTAATTAAATATGTGATTTTCGAGATACAAACTTCCAACTTGGATCCGATCTTGGATGATCGGATCAAATAATCATGATTATTTTATAGATGTTAAGAATCAGAAAATCATTTTATCTGTCATTTCCAGCCCATTGCTACGTAGCATCACCTGTAATTTGTAATCGCGTACAGTACGTTCCACAGAAGAAGGTTCCAATTTATTGGTTACGTGGTTCGCTTTGCTTTCGCGCCCACGGGCTTGGTCCATTTGGTTTCACTACGGACTAGTTTTTATAAAATTTTCTGACGATTCAACTGTCTACGATCAGCCCCTATTTACTTCAAATCCTTCGTTCTATAACCCGCGGGATGGCCACCCAACTCTCCCATACCCGCGCATTGTTCACTTCGAGATATATATGGCTTAATTATTGAGATTATTCTCGGGATAGACAGGCGTTCTTTTTCATCCGAACACGTCCTCGCTTTAGATGCTGAATGTCCAAGCTACAAATTTCAATCGGAAAATGTCCTCTGCTTTTCATAAGCAAATTGAAACATTTGATGTTTTAATGCGCCCCAACATTTTAATTATCAAGGTAGAAACATTACTTCTTACCATGAACTATAATATTCAGCAGTAATTGATGTTTGACGGAAGTAAAATACTTTTTGATAGGAAAGTAAAATACTTCTTTATCAGATCTTTCGTTTGGTGTCTTCCGTGTACTTTTGAGTATGGAAGAAGCCGTGTTGTTATGTTTGAGTATTTAAGAAAACAATTTGAAATATCTGATAAATTTGACTGTTTTAATTGGTTGAACCTAAAACTGAATATTGGGTACGGTTCGATATACAGAGGGACTACGTATCTTCACACGTTTACCTAGAATACATTTCGGATGGTATTTTTTAGGCAGGATGGCCAGAGCGGTCAGCCTACCGATGTCGGGACTCGGGATCGATTCCGAGGTCAAAAATCCCAGGAATTTTTTGGAGTGATTTGTCCTGTTTCTCAAACCCAGCGAGTCCATCAGTGGCCGATTGAATAAAATTCACTGAACACTGGTTCGTGTCTTGCCAACGGGCTGGTCACGTGGAGTTTTTCGGGTCTTCTTCATTCTACGTTAGTAACGCGTAAATAGGGGCCAGTTTTCCATAAAAGATTTCCCCGTAGACATTTCTTCCCTCGGCAGATTGCGTTGCCTTAATCGAACCAAACTTCACACCCGACATTCCCATTGTTGTCCTGGAAAAACTCGCCAAGGGTTTTATTGTAACTATTTTCGCCCTGTGGGCACTAAGAGAACCTCTTTTAGTAAGTTCGTAATGAGATCAGCCAGACCCCACAATGAGACAGCCGGGTGGTAGGAGACGGGGCCTGACATATCCGGACGGACCACCCCCGAAAAATTCCTAGGGATTTTTCGACCCGTCTGCATTCGAACTCGGGTCCTTCAGAGCGATAAGCTGTCATCTTGACCGCTCGGCCATCCGGCTGCTAGTAACTCTCCACGGGCTTGATATAAAGGTCCTCTTATAAGATTTTACAATAAACGCAGTAAATTTTCAGAATTTATTTCAGCATCTGTTTCTGGCTACTTAGTTGCTAGTTAATGCGAGTAGGGTAACCAGATCGGACGTAAAAGGAGGCCCAAGTTTATATAAATCGCTATACATTTTAATGAATTTTCGCTTTTAATACTTACATAATGGATTATAAGAAATATATATAAAAATTACTAGGTCAGTAATTAACTCTACAATCAAATTATTTTTTCGTATATTTAGCGATTTTATTAATTAATTTTTTTTACAAAGGAAGCGACCCTCTAGATCTTTCCCTGGTTATTCAATTGTCTTATCACTTTTTTATAACTAACACAAAAAACTTTTTATGACTAACATAAAAAAAGAAATAAAGTAATTAAAGTTACTTAAATTAATAAAGATATTCAGACATTAATCGCATATCTTTCCAACAAATTCGATAAAATACAAGAAAAGTTAAATTAACTAACACGAGGCCATATTTACAACCGATCATCAAGAAATTAAACTAATAATCGTTCGCGACTGAAGTCAAGTGAATGGCAATTGGTTAATAACTCTGGACTTGTTTTACTGAAGATCTAAGAAATAAATTCCAGGAATTATTACACACGATAAATGTTTCTGCTTGTAATTCGATTTTGTTATCACATTGAAAAGCTGCGCAAATACCCTTAATATTCATTCTGTCTTAGATTAGGAATTATCCAAAAGGAGAAAGATTTCCATCTAAACACGAAGTTTTATTACACGAACAAATAATTTTTTAATTAATAATTTCTAAGTTATGCCGATAATAACGTATACCTACTAGTATATTCAGTAGTATACAGTACTATACAGTATATACCTAATACAGTAAATCTGAAAAAGAAAGAACTCGAAAAGTCTGTCCGTTTTTTCTGTGTCATACAGGTTTTCTGCCATTAACAGGATATAGTCTTATCGTTTTTCTACTGTTCTCTATTGCTTTTGTAAATGCCCCGAAATGTTTCTTTTTCCTTTTATGAGATTGGAAATGATTCAAACGAATTTCTAAATCCGTAGCCTTATAAAACAAATTCTTGTTCTTCAACATTTCTAAATTCCTTCAAAGCCTATGTAGCTAAAAACTTGTGTTTGATGTAAAAGCTCAGACCCTTCTGTTAGCCTATCTTCGTGTGAAAATATGAAGTAGCGAACCAATTGCGAGTCACAATTTTGTGAAAGTTTATACAATCAATTTCTGTGGAAAAAATATACAAGCACAAAAATAAACATACAATTAACAAAGCATACAATCACGATTTAGTTTGTACAATTCCTTTGTCCTATATGAAACCATCCTAAAAGAAATATTCAACATTATTAAATATCTTAGAACATACCCTGTAAATTGACAATGGGCCTTTCATTACGCTTATTTTGTCACATTCGAATTGCACACGTTAATAGCTACACAAGTGTCCAAAAAAATGCATACTATGTATCTGTAATCAGTCAGTCGAGTCTAGATATTTGTATTGTACGCTTGTGGAGTCACACATTTCTAAGTTTAATCTTTTAAGCTTCAAAATTTAAAATGTTCAAAAAAGAAACAATTGGATGAAGTTTCTGTGGGCTAGATGGGTATGATGAAGTTAAGTAAGATTATTTTTATTTTTTTAATGTCCGTAGGGCGGAAGAGTTAAAATGAAAAGAAAAGATTACTTCATAAGTTGATGCACCTTGGGGATTTTAATTTCGGGAGTTTTTGTGGATGGTCTTTCACGTCAAGCTCCATCATGGTGTTATTTCCATTTTAGGCTTGACCAAATCCGCAAAAGTCCTCATAGTATCCCAGGAAGGAAAGATTAAAAGTTAATATCATATCAATTTATAAATATTTTGTAATCAGTTTGAAAACATTCAACGCGATAAGTTTAATAATGTGATAATACCGAATCTTTTTAGATCGGTGAATAATCAGTAAGGTTTATCTGAAATGCATTATTAAGTGTTTATTCTATAGATTTTACAACTATTCAATCGGAAAAGGTTGTTTTTAAGTTCTATTCGTAATTTCTACCGCTCTTAGAGTCGAAATTGCGAAATAAATTCATCAAGTAACAGCTTAAAACTAGTTGATTGATGACGATCTTTTACTGATAAATGAGATATTTATGATCTTACTCGTATTTGAAAGACTTAAATTATCGGTGTAGATAATAATATACATATCCAATAATCTTAAATGATTTATTTCTGATGACCGTAGCTTCGATAAACAAATAATTAAGCATGTTTTTATGCAGCTTTTGCGCAATCACTATCAATTATTTACAAGAAAGAGTAATGAGTTTGTATCGCATTTTTAAGGATAACTTTCATTAAATAAATAACCTAAATTTAAGTTTGAAGAATATTTAGCTTTATTTGTTTTTAAAAAGTTAGGTTAGCTTCGATTTTTTAATGAAAAAAATTAAGAAAAACCTTTTTAATTTATTGAATATTTTTAACACAAAAATACACAAATACCTGTATTAATTTTCAATTTAACTTTATGTCTTGAGAAGTGTCTGTTCGGCGATAATTTTCCGAATGTAAGATACTAATTTTACATGTCCTAGTTATAATTGTTTATCATTTGGTGTTAAATCAGCAGCAAAACAAGTATATAACATTTTAATTATTGATATACAGGCGACTGTATATCAACAATATATAATAAATACCGCTGAAGAGGGACAGACAACCTGTCCGAAATGCCTGTCCTGTAATTTTTCCAACTATGTCAACATTGTGGGATAAGCCCTTCGTAGTAGCCAAAAATTAGTGCTAATCGTCTTATACAAGAAATATACACGATCATTCACATGTATTTATAAAGGAAAATGTTATAACAATGTATTTGATTATTTTTTGTTAGTTCCATTTCGAGATCCCCTTCACCCGAGTGCTATGTCTACGCACCCATTGAACTTGAACTGGACCGACCCTGTAAGTGCAAGTTATCATTTAACAGTGTCCATTTTTAATTACTTTTGAGTCCAGAAAGGCGTGTCACCCGTGTATTGCTCTCCACTATACCTGGACTTGTATGCCATATCGCGTCTTCTGGACGGATATTGTAACTGCCATTAGTTATCTACAAAAATAAAAAATGGCACGTGTTAGTGCATATAACCATATCGGAAGGATGTCCGTTGTCTTACGCTAAACGTGCATTTGAAAACGGAGTGTCTTATCCCTCTGTACGTAGCATAAATAAATAAGCATTTAGCTATTTTGTTAATTGTTAAAGTTAAATATTGTAATACAAATAATTAATATCAATTTAATTTTAATTACGAAGCAGATGTATTCGCTGATACAGCAGACTCCATTTTTTAAAGTCGTAATCGTTTCCTGGAATATCGCCTTAAAGCAGTCATTTTATTTCCATAAATTTAATGTCGTAAAATGGATTATGTTCTTAAAAATTAATCCTAACATTAGTGGGATGGCTAATAAATTATACAACACTTAAATATAACATTTCACACACTTACAATAGAAAATTTATATCACTCCTAAAAGCAAAGCAAATTTGTCGTAAAGCGAGACGTATTACACAGTAGAACTCCCATTATCCGAATTGATTCGTTCTGCAGGCGATTCGGATAATCGAAGATTCGGGTAAGTGGATTGTCATGTATAGAATGAAATTACAGAATAGAAGCACAGTATTATACAAATATTTATTTACTTATCAGTGTGTTACACACTGATAAGTAAATAAATACAATAACGTCCTACTGATCGTTTGGATCTGTTATAATAAATAGGCACACGACGTAAGAGAATTGCAGTGTGATGTCAGCAGGAGAGAGAAAAGATAACAAATAGTGGTTCGAATAATTGGACATTAGGTTAATCGACGTTCGGATAATCGAAGTTATACTAGCTTTACGACTTTGCATCTGTAATTTAGGACTTTTCAAGTACTGATTTTATACGCTATTTTAAAATAAAAGCTATTTCATTGGGTTTAAAAATTGTTACTGGAAGTTACAATTAAGATCTATTAACCTAGTTAAATAAATAAGGGTTAGTAGATTTCCTTGCAGCCTCAATATTTGATTTCTAATATATGTCTTACTCGGGATATTTAGTAAATCGCGTTAAACAGAGTGGAACTGATTTTAACTAATGTGTCTTTCCTGACGTAGAATAGTTCAAATTTCGTGAAATGGAATTTATTGCAACGGATATGCTATTCTCAGATTATAAGTTGAGAGTGTAATGATAAATGAAGCACTAAAACCTTGCATCTAGACTTATATAGACTGCATTCGTCGCTACGATGAAGATTCTACAAAATTTAACTCTAATTTTTAATATTCTTTTTGGATGTTTATATGTAACAATTAGTCGTAAGTGGGAATTACTCTTGTATCTTGCACGAAAATAAAAGTAATTTCCACTTATGAATAATTAATGCAGTATAAAAAGCTTTGTTTTATAATAAATTCACCATTAAAAGAAAATGGCGAATTTTATAGAGATAGAAAAGAAATTACTAACAGTAAAGACGAAGAGAAACATCACTAAATTAAATTATTTCAAAAAATTTTTGAATGTGTAAAAGAAGCCAAAAAAGGTAAGTGGCTAGGGCCTTTCTCAACTTCTGAAAGGCCTTTCTCTTCATTACAAAACCAAAAGTTTTCGTAAGGATAGTTAACAACAAGAAAACAGGCGAAATTAAATGCTGTGGTGTCAATTTTTAGGGAAAGAACTAAGAGAAAATGTGAAAATATCGATATTAAAAAGTCGGTTATATAATTTGTTTGGTTGCATAAGAGTTAATTTGGAAAAATTCCACGTTTTACGCTTCACCCGAAACGAATTTCCCGAATCGATGTACTGTACATAAGCCTTTAAACAAATATCCAGTTAAAGTTTTGCCACCGAATGAATGAATTTACAGAATTATCTTAGGCTGGAAAGCGAAAAGATGTACTTGACTAAGCAGCGAACGGGAGCGTTAGCTGCGAAGTTATTCGTAAAATTACCAAAACTAACAGAAATGGCCAAAATAAACTTTCGAATAAACCTGGCAAGAGGATAGATATTATTTTTGATTTCACTTGGCTGTTAAAAAGTAAGTCGAACCTCAGATATTTCGTTTAAAATGCTACCAAGTTCTTTGGCATATTTCGCCAACTCTCTTCTCTCTCGCTCTCACCCCCTTTATCTGCCAACTTTTTATTTCGCAGATTTATAAAATGAATGAAGTAAGTGGGTTGTTTGGCTGTATCCAGCGTATTGTTTATGGCGTAGAATGCGTCATTCGTTGCCATCCTCTCAGAAATTTCTGGCCCCGATTCCCAAAGTTCAAGAACATTTCTTGCGTAACGTAAATGTTGACGTTTATAGAGGTTTAATCCGGGAGACCCGACATTCCGCCAGTTACTTTTGTTCGTTTCTTTTTAAAATCTCTCTCTAGGAAATTGCACCCAACTTAATAAGAATGGCGCCGCTAATCCTAGTAAACAAATTTCATCTTCTAATAGAGGAAGAGAGGGAAAAAATTAATGTTTCCCCCATTTCTGCTTACAAAAATAGATTTTTAAATGCACTCTTCTTCGAAGGAACGGCTCTAATAATGTTGGACGTAAATAAAAGCCGAACTTCCTTTACTCTACCGACGAAGTGTGGAAGATATTAATTACTTTAGTGAAAGTCTTTTACATCTAAGAATTCGAGGAATGGTCGAAAGCTAAAATGATGCATGAAATATTTGTAAAGCCCTCCAGAATAGAAAAGAAACAGTACTACTTAATATAATTAAAAGCGACTATAGGGAAGTGAAGGTTTCGATACAGTTTCAATGTAATTTGTCACAAAAATTCAAATTGCAACTACATTTTGATAGGCCTAAGGTAGCTCTCGCTTTACGACCTAATTGACTTCTACAAAACGACCAAACAAACTGTCAAATTTCCGCAAGTTCAGCGTAGTGAATTGAGATTACGTTCCTAGGTATTAACTACGTGATACCAAGAAAAATTCGGCATTTAATATCATTATCATGAGAAATTTATACTTGTTATAAATCGAACGGTCGTAAAGCGGGGATCTACAGATTTAGGCCTAATCAGTAATCATACACGTATTTGCCAATTTGCCACACGATTGGCGAAAGCTCTCCTCAGAGTTCACTTAAGACTTTAGCAGGATAAGCATATACAAATAAACAACCGTGCCCGAATTATTCTAATAATAATGACGGATTAAATTTAAAACAAGATGGCGGCACAGCCGCTTATCTTTAACTCATATTACGTAATACGTATAAAATTAAGTAGCCACGTTCTAGCCCAATAAATCGTTTGATTAATAGAATTTGGACTGGGTTGTTTTTATATTTATATAAATTTACATATTTAATTTTAAAAGTTTTATATATTTTTTACGTATAATAATTAATACGCAATGAAAAATTGTTAATAATTCGCTTTATTATATAGTAAAATAATAAATCCACGATGACGTTGTAACGTAGCTCACGAGTCGTCTGCTTTTGAACTTTCTTATTGGAGCAAATCTTTTATATATGTTGACATCGTTATTTTTTAAAAAATACGGGATAAAAATTGTATTTTACTTATAATAATTAAAATATGGCAAAAATGAATAATAATTAGCTTTAATTAATATATTAATAATGCCATGACATGATTCTGACGTAAGCAGCACGAGACTAGAATTTCGAAAATCGTCTGCTTTTCTAAAAAATGAACTCTGTAAAATGCGGTAAAAAGATGGTGAAACGTCGTTTATTCGAAGAGAGTGGCTCGGAGAAGAAACGAAAACTTACGAAGAGTAAAAATAATGCAAAATCTGCGAGTAATTCACTTCTGAAGGACCTGGATTTAGACAATTATTTCGGATTCGGATTTCTTTCCGATTCGAGCGACGAAGATACAAAAAGAAATTTTAAAGACGATGGTAACGATTGCGAATTGACTCTTACCAAAGAAAATTTGTCTTGGTTATTAAACCTGCAAGTCGGAACGTTGTTTAATGAAGAAAAAACCATCTACCACGATCACAGTTATGAAAAAAGTCGAGATCGTAAGTAGGCTTAAAACCAATGGCTACTTTAGCCATAGGCAATCCAGGCTTTTGCCTAAGATTTTACTTAAGTTTTACGCAAAAGCCCTAAAAGCGGAGTATTTACAGTATGTCAGAAGTACCTAGAACTTAGGTGCTTCTGACATACGTGCTTATCGATCACAGAATTTGCTATTAGGTTTTTAACTCTGTTCTGTCAGGAACAGAGTTAAAAACCGAAGGTCAGGTTCACAATGAGAGTTGTGAACCTGACCTTCACACCTTATTGAATATCGTGTGATGTGGGCTTAACGTAATATAAACTTACATATATAAGTATGAACTGCTTCTTAATGTGGCTTTCGTGCCGAGAAACAAATGTTTTCGACCTGCTCTAAGCCTTTTCTGGCTTTTAAATAAAATGTTTGAAAAACAGAACATGCATTTTTCAAACGTCTTATTTAAAAACTGAAGTTGAACTAAAACAGGCGGGAAATGTTTATTTCTTAAAATAAAACTTTTGGCTAGCTGAAAAAGCAGTTTATATTTCTATTTCGTAAAATACGGTGCCAACATCTATTCAATTTGAAGATAAATTTACATAAAAGGGACTCGTCAGCAGCTCACGTTTGCCTCGATCTGTCATAGCCTAAAACTATTATCATAAAAGTATACGTCTGTAAATAGTTTATTTACAGACATATATGAACTTATATATACTTTCTCAGATTGATTAAACAGATCTTGTTTTTATTTAAAAATAAATTTTTAGATAACCATTCAATACCCCAGGAATATTTGTGCTTGACAGTAAAACCCGAGAAACCGCCATATACTTACAAGGAATTAATTGAATTAGCCCTTAAAGAAAGATCGCAATTAACCGTTTCGGAAATTTATCAATGGATTGGGTAAGTGTTTTTATAAATTTAATAAAAAATAAGAAATTTAGCGTAATTATGTAAAGAAAAAAATTTACTTCCATTAAAAATACATTTTAAAAACTTTCCACATTTGCATTATTGTTTCTTTGAAAATAATAAATACAAAAGTCTCAATACATATTTATTAACGTGTTAATCATATATTACTTTATGGTGTTAATCTCTGTGATGTTAATCAATTTATTTTCGAATATTCGGTACAAGTTAGTTACTAAATACTCCGTACAAGGCAAATTAGTAGCATTGTGTTACCCCATCGGTTTTACAAATCACATCGTTTTAATTCCAGCAAATACTAATATTAACAAAGGTACAGATTTATTCATTTTACTAGGAAATAAAAAAAAGAATTTAACATAAAGAAACTGCTTTGATCTTAAGAATTTACTTATTTTCATTGGTTTAAACTAGCAAATTTTAAACTGTTTAAGTAGTAGTAAATTTTATAAGACATCATTTAAATAACATAAATAATTACATAACACGAACTGATCCAAAAAAATAATTTTAGAAGTTATTGACTTGATTAGTTAAATGGCAATTTCTTGATAGTCTATTTCGATGTTTTTCTATTCGAATTTTATTAAATATTTGCTTTCATAAAGAAGTGAATGCATATTATACAAATATTTCTTTATTATGCAAAATTCATAAAAATAGATAGCAATACTATTAAATCAGGGGTTCTCAATTGTGGCCACCAAAAATGCCTTGAGGTTGTTCTAGATTAATTTTGTTCGGTTCTTCAATCTAGGAAGCCGATTTTGTAACTACATTCACTAAATATTGTCGAAATAAGGTCAGTTTGGACATTTTTCGAGTTAAGTTCATCATTGTTCTATAGCAAGAGACTGTCACGAGTACGACCAATCCCTGTTGTAGAACATATAGACGACCTATTTCTTAATCGAACTTCAGAAAAAAAGTTTAGAAATCATTCAAGTTAAAATTAATAAATTTGAAGAATGGATTCGTTATTTACATCATTTATTTTAATATCAAAAATATGGTTTATGCTCAATTTGTATAAATTATATTAGGGATTTTGTTTTTAATCAGTTTCTGTTTTATAACTTGAAATAGGCCTACATTCTTTGTAAAATAATGGGTCATTTGGCACAATGTCATCTGTAAGATATAAAAAACACTCGTATTACCATTTTATTTTAGAGTGCATGTTGATTGTTCATTTTAATTAACTTTTTTTTTCTAAATACTTATAGATTTATGTAAAATTCAAGTTTAAAACTAAATATTTTTCATATCTATGCGGTGGTAATAGAACAACTCACCAGTTTACCCCCCGCTAGCGACAACATATGCGTGAGTGGGGCAGGCAATCGTCACTGTAACAGCAACGCGTTGGATTAGAGATAGTCTCCTTCGCTTCACAATATAAATTTGTTCGTAATTACTGAATTATTTTGAAAATTATTAATTTTAATAGATAAGTGTATAATAGAATGTAAGATTTTCCTAACAAATTTAATTCATTTTGAAGATTTATCTTTCTCACTCTAAGTAAAAAGCAATCCTGGGATTGTCGTGTCTTCTCAAATTAAGATTTTCATATACTCCCTCCTTTTCCAGTGAAGTGCAGAGAGATATTAAAGATATATATATATATATAATCAAGCTTTGCGGCTTTACATTTAATTTGGTGTTTCTCTAGATTGTTATTGGTTGGATCACGTTTAAATTTTATGGATGGATGGCTGTAGATAAGTAGCTTTGTGGTTTTAACAAAAAAAAATTTTTTTGTGTTAAAAAAACGCAGCTACTTATCAGATGTTTCACGATTTTTCGGTGGACGTGTAAGCACTGTTTACTGTATGTATAAAAGAAAATATTTGGAATTAGATTGTTTAGCATGTTTACAGTTTTACAGTAATGCAGAGCCTTCTGGCAGACAGGCATTCTAATTCTGACATACTAACTGCCGTATTCATGACCAAGGAACAAAAGTTAGAAGTTAGCCAATTACTATTCATTTTTTAATGTAGACCTGTTTACTATTCATTTTACTTTTAGTACGTGAACCCTCATTGTTTAACTTCTTACACTAACTATTGATCCTAGGTTATGAATACGGCCATAATAAGCAGATACGCAATTCCGAATTGGCGCCGAAGAAATTGCAAAAGACCATGGGATAGATCTCTTTCGAAATGGAAATATGAATTTATATAAAATGCAAGGATTATTTGGGCTCGTACAAATCATGACAGGCATATATATGGGATACGACTCAGATAGACCTTTATCCAATAGTGAATTAATAATGGTTTAATATAATGATATAATAACTATATGCTCAAATTACATACCGACAACTTATTTAAGAAGTATTGTACATTAAATTTTAATAAAATTCATTAAAAAAAATTATAACCGGCGAGTAATTTGCCGTCCAATTAAATTGAGTATTGTTGTTTTGACATTAATTAAATCCTTCTACATTTGAAAAAATATTCTGCAAATATAATAATTGTAATTCTGACAACTTTCATTTTTTAAAACATAACTTTATAATAAATTGTAGATTAAAATTAAAAGTCCACTTATTGACGGAAAAAGTTCTTAAAATGACTTAGACATTATGCTAACAGACCGATCTTCGATCTTGTAAAGGTTGCTGTTTGAAATATCTACATTATATACAGATATAGAAGAATTATATATGTAGGCCTATAAATAAAATTCAAATATTTAACAATTAGCTAATGTTGTTTTCTGTATTCTTTTCTGCGTTGTTAGCTTCCTAGAGCTTAAAAAGAATATATGAGTAAATATTAAAATTGATATACATTTTCAAAATTTAATCTTATGCAGGATATTCCGCGAGTGGCTGTATTTTTAGTGTTTTAGAGGTCTAAGGATTCAAAAATGTTCTATAAACATAGCCTTTCAAAAGTATTGTTTCAGCTCTGGAAGGGAGAACATGGTCTCAACTTTATTCCCTTCTCCAGCTGAAGAAGATTTAAATCTTAAGGAAAACCTTACGTTTTGAAAAATGTAAGATTCGTTTGCATTTCTTGGCTCTTTAGTAAAGCACAGAAATTGAAGGGCATTGAGATTGACGGTTAGCAGTACTGTAGAGCAGCATCTTAAATCAGCTATCCTTTCTCGCGCTGAAACAATACGTTTGAAAGGCTATGTTTATAAGACAATTTCGGATCCCCTAGGCCTCTAGTTGTAAAATATTTCCACTACTTCCATAATATTATAAATGTAATCTTTATATTTATAACATTATGTTTCATTTAACATTTAATAGTTACATTTCATTTATTTTCCGCATTAAAGAATACTATACAAAAGAATTTAGTATAGCGTTTTAATATTTTCTAATTCGGCTAAAATCATTATTTTTTTAAAAATAACTAAATAGAGTCTTACTTTTATAAATTTTATGTCTCCTGGTAATAAGATAAAACACTTTTGTATCTTTAAATTAATAAACACTATTACATTATATTACCAACAATATTTTTTTTCAGTACTACTTTATTAAAATTTTCTTACACAGTTTGTTTTGAAAACATTTTATACCTGTACTACTGTAGTCTAGAAAATGTTTACAAAAGTAATGATATACAGAACCACAAAAATATATTTAATTGTAATACTGACTAGGTTTTTCGAATTAAATTTATGTAGTTTAAACATTCTCTACCTTACCATAAAATCAATCAAATTTTACTGTTTTGCGCCGATTCTGAGATGGCAAAATATACCACAAACATTATGAAAGTATATTAAAAACGAGAAGAAATCGATTTGTACAAAGTGGCAGCATTTATTCTCTGCTGAATTCACATTGCTACTTGTTAGTCTTGCAGTTTTTAAAGGTTTTTAAAAATAAGTCGAAATAGGTTCTATTGTTTTTAAGATATAAATGGATTTCGTCATCCTATCTCGACAAAAATGAACAAATATCTTTTTAGTAGGCTAGAAGAATTATTATAATAAAACATTATTATGTAAATTCAAACGTAAAAAACAAACTAATTTTGTTATTTATCTATATGTAATCTTTCTATTTGATTAAATATTAATTAATTCTTAAAATAGGGAACACTTTCCTTTTTACCGTAATTCTGACGGCAGATGGAAAGTAAGTACACGAGCTAAAATTTTAAAAAAGTTTATAATTTTTGTAATGAGATCACAAAATAATTTTTATTTAGAAATCTATTCGATACAACTTATCTATAAATCCTCATTTCGAGAAAGGCGAAAAGTCCGATAGAGGAGGTCATTTATGGAAAATAGTTCCAATTGATTTTACTACGAATAACCAAATATTTGCGCGTAATGCGCATGTGAGTATCTTGGAATTTATTTTACTATATTATAATTAATTAAAACTCAAATAAAATGTTTAAATATTTATTTAGAAAGAAAGAAAACGCAGAAGGAATTCTCACAATCCAGATTCATTTTATAATTACAAAACTACGTTCAGTGAAGTATCTAATGATATCCACCTGGATGCGACTAGTAATAAGCGTAATTTGTTACATTTTGACCACCAAGATTCACTAATAAAAAGAACAAAAGGTATAATTTACGGTCAGCAGGACGAGAAGGTTCACGTAGAAGCTATACCATATACAGATGTGTTCGATCAAAGTTACTGTTCATCAAACTTACATTACCAGTGGCCACAAATAGGTAATTACTTAAATTTAGAAACTTTGTATCTATTTTCGACTAATTTATGTTTATTTTACAGAAAATATAGACTTTCAAAATGTATTGACAAATCAAATATATCTTCCGGATGTTGGACAAGACTGTAATATCATTTCAGACTTCTCTTACCAATTCCATCCCATATAAAAATCGCCCGAACTGTTTAGCGAGTTTATTCGATTATAACATTTAAATATATTCAATTTATTTATTTCTCAGATTTTACCAACTGAACATATTTTCTTTAGATGTTTACATTGTATAAATGATATTTGTTTAGTTTAATTAAGATTATTTTAAGCGTATTTTGGCAAAACTGCACGATGGCATGATATTTAGTATATGCTCTACCCTTTAAATAAATATTTCTCGAAATATAGATGTATCATATTTTGTTTTATGCAGAATAGTTGTATTTTTTGTACTACCATTTAAATATGCATGTTTAAAATAAAAGTTTATTCGTTGATTGTAAATCTTTTGTTGATAATTATCGCCAGAGTTTTTTGAATTTACAATCTTTTTGCCATTATTTTTTCATAATTTAAAATGTATTTTATACGATCGATTTAAATTTCGTAGCAGATTTCAAAGAAGAAATATGAAAACAAGTTGGAAAGAAACATCAACAAGGAGCAAACGAGAGGGGAAAACGTCCAAAAATACAGCATTGCAGCTGTCATATTAAACGTGCATTTTGAAGGGAATTTTCTCTTTTGGTGAAAGTATGACGCACACTTAAATCGATTTGGCAGCAAAATCGAAATATTAGAAGAAACTGAAAATAAAAAAAAATATAGTCTATATGTAATTTAAAATATGAATTTATTTTTAATTTATTATTGTAGTGTTTTAGAGTTATATCTACTTATCTCCTTTTATAATTATAAATTATATTTATCTACTCAGATATTTGTAATTTTTTTTCTTTTTTAGAAAAAAGTGCATTTCTACGTTAACAGTAATGAAATCTGAAATGAGGAATGTAAGTAAGAATATATTTCAAACGATGATTTTGGCACTTATTCAAGATTTAAATGAAGCTTTCTTCTCAATAAATAATAAAATATAACTTTATTATTATACAGTTATAAAAAATGTTGGAAATATAAAAATTTAACATGAAAAATAATGAAATATTAAGAAAAAATGCAAAATTTTTATCATTTTCTTACAATAATATAATAAATATTATCAATGATTATTTTTGTTTTATTTGGTGATATAGATTGAAACGTGTAGAAAGCGAATTGAAGATTGCAATGAATTGTAGGATGTACTGTACGCTTCAAAATTAACTTCAGTTTGCTAAAACCATAAATGGAAAGCACCCCCACATTAACTTATCCAATCAGACTTTAACTGGCAATGGAGAAAGATGCCTGGGAAAAAGGTGTCAGTTGTCTTATGCCATACCCAGTTCTCAAAGGTCTCGGGGTGCTGTTTGTGATTGTGCCGTGAAGAGGTTTGGTGTAAATCAATAACTCTGTCTATTGACTAGGATTATTCCAGAAGCTTGTAAGTATGTTTATCTTTAAAATTGTTTAGTTATTTGACTTCATTTTGAAAATAATTTTTCTTATATACACTACTTTGATTGCATTTGAAAGAAGCATTTTTTAAATAAATATCTAAGTCAGATTTAGCAAATTTTATATCTTTATTCCACGAAATTTCTTTCGTTTCTAATTAGCATCGATTAAACGAGATATTTTAATCAATTTGACTTTGCGAAATAATTTTTTATAATAAAAATCATCTTTTATATACATTTAATAAACGTAGACTTCTTCAATGTTCTTTTTGCAACCATTTCTTGTCATAATTTCCAATATAAAAATCTTTCCTCTTCCTCTTAAGCACTGAATTCGGAACGGTAGAACGTTTGCTGACGAAGCTCATTCATTAACTGTTTTTGCCAAAAATTAAGACGAAATGCAGACAGAACGAAAACATTTTTCTGGCTACAATTATCTTGTTAAACTAGACTTTGTTGATAGGATATATTTCATAATTCAAAGAGATTAATTAAAATGGCAACTCAACTGGTAATCTATTCCAGTTTAAGTGTCGAGAATACACTTGGCTGGATTGTTTAAGACACAAGTGAAGGAATGATTTTGCTTTTTACATTTCAACAACGACTTTCTTGTTTTTCGCGAACAGAAGTGTGCCGAAAATTTAGAAAAACTGGCATGGATGGCAGTGATTGATGCATCACAAAATAATAGAACGTTTAAAGATTTCATGCCAAATTCTTGTATATTATGCAGGATATTTGATAATCCACTATTTACTCAATGAAGTTTAACCGGTTATTTTTTATCACTGCTTTAAAAAACATTAGTAAAACGAATTAAATATTTATGCCTAGATGATTTAAAACTTATTTTTTAATTATCATTATTTTAATATTCTAGTTTAATGTTAAGATGAAAGCATATAAACATCTAAAATTGTTCTATTAAACTTTTATAGAACATCAAAAGCACATTTTAAAACTACTTAAATTTAATTTTATTTAGATAAATCTCTATNTGACATATTAACTGCCATAAACTTTTCACATCTCAGCATTGGATGTATGGAACCATGACCTTCAGCTTAATTTCATTTTAAAGAAAGATACTATATGAAAATGAAAGTTGATTCAATTATTTATATTGATTTAACCAAAATATTGACATTTTTTAATCCAATTTCCAGCATAAGATTTATGATAGAATTATCAGTGGGATTATAAATATTTTCATATTTGTGAAATAAAATTTAATAATTTTTTACATTGTTTAATAATAAACTATTTTAGAAATGTGTAGTCTATGGTATTAACATAATAATTTATGAGTAAAATAAAACCCAAATAAATTTACATTATAAAGTCATACCTCAAAAACTTAACCAAATGACATTTCCTAAATCTCTAATGACAAATGTTGATGTTTGCAATCCAAAATGTTTCTGTGGATAAAAAAAAAAATGTTGTTATTAAAGTTTTATATCACTTTTGAATATATAATTAATTTATATATGCAAAAGTATATATTATGCTACTTTGCTAAGAATCTTTTAATTAAAAGGAATGAGTTCTTCATTCATATTCACAAATGTTGATGTTTGCAATCCAAAATGTTTCTGTGGATAAAAAAAAAAATGTTGTTATTAAAGTTTTATCAATATTTTGAATATATAATTAATTTGTTCTTACTGAATATGAGCTTATACATGATGGATGTCCATGGATGGATGCCATCCATGATGAATGGGGTGGCACGCCATCGTACCGGTAAATCTGCCGTAATTGTGTCAATGGCAAATCATCGAACTATTCGTCCACCGCCGTGTTAGGACTATACACATATCGGTCACTATTCGGGGTACCGTCAATGAATACCGGACCGAGAAGCTGCTCATCTCAATTCCCGCACCAAACGCTTACGGTAAAACGTACTCAATGTCGCATGCGTGTTCGAAAATGTACTGCTCAGTGGCGCAGATGGTGACGATTCCCATCAAATATGCCGAAGGAGTGGTTCGTCGTGCTATAAATTTAACGTCATGTTCCACCACTCAAATCGCTGTGCTGAATCTCCTGCATGTTGTGGTTGCAGATGGCGGTGCATGTTATGGAGACCTAATATTCTCCGTATTTGTATTAGCTACAGTCCACAACCTAACCCACTGTTTTCAGCCTTTCTTTCATAGTTGCGACCTGCTTCTTTATTAGGATTATTGCACTTTTCGTATATTTAGTAATATACGTAAGAAATGTTATGGCACTGCTCACCACTAAATTTCATTGTACCCGGATGAAAACCACTGACTTAACTTACTCTAACCAATGCTGGAAATATCTCTTTTGCCTCTGGATAAAACTCATGTTTAAGTGTCACCCTATACACTCATTATAAACTTTGTTTTATTCGCTGATTTTGTCCTTGTTTTATATTAATAAAAAAGCATAATTATTTTATGCTTTTTATTGTATTTATTTATTTTTTCTCTTTAATACTTAATCCTTTAAACAACTGCATAATTTGATATCCCCAATGTAAATCTAAATTATCAAACATGTCATAAATTATTTTTTACACTATTAATAGATAATTAAACGTTTTATGTCCAATTAAAGTTTGAATTGAAAGAATACATTTTGATTGTTAATTAAAAATTGAAATTTTAAACTGAATATTTTTTTCAATTATAAGTTCATGAATTTTTAAATTATAACATTTTGACGCTTTCAAAATTTCGTAAACATTTAAAATACATTTTGTACAATAATTTAAGTCTTTAGAATAAGAAACTTGATAATTTCTATTTATGTTATTTACAAAATATAAACGAATACAGTATTATCCATTTTATATATATAATAAACAATTCGTAAGTTCCAATAGGCAATGTAAAATTTGAAGTAAATTCGAATTTAAATATAAATGACTGTCTTAACTACGTTGATAAGAATGTGATTTGTCCGTCATTTACACAAATTTCTACCTACGTTTAGCAGAATAGAAGAAGCTCCTTTATTTTGAAATGTCTGGTATAAAAGCAAAAATCAAGTTTCCGCATTTAGAATAATGGAA